AATTATTATTTTGATTTCTTGAATATATGTCAGCACATCAGACTGTCCTTTATGACTGGATTACTGCATTCTGTTGATTCTTATTTTGTAGTTGGCTTTATTCCTTTGATAACTATGTAAGTTTAAAAAGCTAAAGATCTAAGCTGTTCTTAGAAACAATAATTAGTACATATATGAAAACTTAAAAAATGTGCAGTATACTCTTTATATGTATTTACATGCACTATAATGTGTATGTGCAGTCAAACTGTAATATTTCTACATAATAAAACTGGAAAAAATTAAATACTGGCCAGTTTCTTTCAAATATATAAAATATTCCTTAGTTGGGGCATGTGTGCTTTCCCATATTTAGAATTAAGTTGTGTATCCCCAGCCAGAATACTGCATAAGTGATGCTGTGTCTTTCTCAGGGTAGCATACCTGGAGGCACACAGTGTCCTCTGTCTCTCACCGTAATGTTAGTTTTGACTACCTAGTCAAGGTTTGTCAATTGTGCAGTTACAATGTTTCCTCTTAAAACGAACAAGCAAACTGTGGGGAGACACTTTAAACTATGTAAACACCTTACTTCTCATCAAACTTTCTGCCTTAGAATTAGTACTCATTGATGATTCTTGCCCAAACCATGTTTACTGTGATGTTTGCAAAATTATTTTCCACTTCATCATTACCCCTATATCTACCAATCAGCATTCTCCCCTCTCCTATATTCACTTATTTATTTAACCATGTATTTATTATTAGTGTGGACTCACAGATTCCTGTTTTTTCAATGGTTTATAATTCATTCCTATCCTATCCTATCCTAAATTATTTCGGTGCTCAAATTTTCCTGGATTCAGCCAGTGAAAGCCCCTTCAAGCTGTGTTTGTCCTTTTAACATGCTCACATCCTTTTTTCTTTTTTTAGTATTGCATTCCTTTGACATTTCAAGTTCATCTTTAACTTTTCCTGACCCAATCCTGGGATAAGACCTGGAATGAGTCCAAGGATATACGTAGTATACATACAAGAAAAGTACACAGAGTAGAAGTATACAACTATGTGTATTTTTATAAATTAAGCACACTTGTGTCATCAGCACTTTGATGTAGAAACACAGCTATACCAGCACCCAGATTCCCTTTGATCCCCATCACCATTCCACCTTTCAAGATAATCAAAATCCTGACTACAAACATCATAGATTAGTTTTGCCTGTATTCTACTTTGATAAATAGAATCGTACAGAATGTAACCACCTATGTTTGGCTTTTTTTGTTTCAGCATTATGAACTACTATGTATAGCTGTGGATCATTTCTCTCAGGCTACACAGTCGACACCTGAACAACACGAGTTTGAACTATACTTATATGCACTTTTTCCCACTAGATGTTTACTATAGGACTTCCTGCCCTACAGCTGGCTGAATCTGTGAATGCAGAACCTCAGATATGGAGGGCTGACTGTAAAGTCACAGATATTTCACTGTGTGGAGGGTTGGTGCCCCTAACCCACCTCACTGTTCAAGGTCAACTGTGTAATATTCTGTATTACTTATCTATTGCTATGTAATACATTATCCCAAGCCTGGAGGACTTAAAACAGCAAACATTATTATCAGGCTGATAAGAGAGAATTATTGTGTTATCAATAAAACTCTGCAAATACAATTCTCTGAAAATCTTTATAGGTCTCCTGTGAATCTTATTGAGGTTAACTACAGCAAATAAAAGCCATATTCACAAGTATTACTGAGCTAAGCCCTTCTCTTCCTTGGGCTTCATCAACCACTGAGAGTTCTATTGTTAGACTGAACCATCTCTGAGGAACCAGAACAAAGAATTTATGTTCACGTCCTTGGCTCCATTTTCAAACTATGTTTTCTTGAGTGTTTCCTAGATATGATCTTTGCTGGAAGTCATTTTTTCTCATTATTATTTTAGCATCATTGGTCCTTGGAGAGGCTAGGAATTTTCAAACCCAACAGAACCTCTTTGTTTAGCATTCCTTCCTTTAGCATATCTCTTTCTTTTCATATTCTACTAAAGCAGCAAGAAGAAATCAGATGGCACCTTCAAAACTTTTCACCCCACTGCTGATGACAATGTTGCTAAATGTAACAAAGGCATCCTTTCCTTCAGTTTCCCTTCTTTCCTCACTTCCCTTCATCAGCAGCCTCCTTAAAGGACATCAGGCTTCTACTAACAAGCTCTTCAATATTCTTTGGTCTTTCACTAACACTCCTCAAATTCCTCCTGCTTCGGCCCAACACCCAGTGCCAAAGCCATTCCCACATTTTTAGGTTTTTATTATGGCAGCACCTCATTTCCAGATTTTGGCCAAACCCAGAAGCTAAACACACACAGGAGCCAACAACTATATATGCTGTTCTGTACCTTGTTTCTTTTGCTTAACAGCTTTGGATATCATTCAACATCAGTAGACATAGGTTAATGCAGTGTTGTATTATCTGACTGAACCATGTTTTTAAAATTTTAACTTACTAATGTTTAAAATGTAAATGATTCACATTTGAAATGTTAATAGATTGGCCAACTGCTGTCATAAGTTGTACTGTTGGAGGAAGAATAGGTTCTTGCCTTGCCCAGGAAAGAATTCAAGAGCAAAGCATGGTAAAGTGAAAGTCAGTTTATGTAGAGAGATACACACTCCATGGACAGAGTGTGGTCTGTCTCCCTCAAAAAGGAAAATGGCTTAGGAGATACACACTCCACATTCAGAGTGCAGGCCTTCTCAGAAGGTGAGCATGACAGAGCTAGAGCGACAGAAGCAGAGCGACAGAGCCAGAGCGAGGGTGACCACGAGGGGCGGGGCCGGAGTTGGGTATTGTGGAGCTGGTAATCTTACATACTAATGAGTAGGAGGATTATTCCAATTACTTTGAGGAAGGGGCGAGGATTTCCAGGAAACGCTCTCCCCTGCCCACTTTTGACCTTTTAAGGTCAGCCTAGGAACTGTCCTGGCGCCTGTGGGTGTGCCATGAGGCGCAAGGTCTACTAGAAGTCAAATCTTCCGCCATCTTGGTTCCACCAGTTTGTCCTGTCCTCAATTGCTGTGTAATACCTTCAGTGGCTGTGCCCTGCCCCTTTTCCTCCCACTTCAGTACCAGTTTACACTCACAACTCTGCATGGCAGTGGCTGTTTCTCCAAACACCTGACCACTCAGTGTGTTAGTCAAGTCTTTGACCTTTACTAACTTGGTCATCAAAAAACATTTTACTATTATTCTAATTTGCACCCTATTTATTATGAATAAGGTCAAGTTCATTTTCATATATTTAATAGCCATTTTCACTTTTTCTATCAACTGCCTAATCAGGATTTTTGACCATTTGGGGTTAGTTGATCATTTTTTCTGACTGATGCTTTGGAGCTCTTAAGGAAAATTGATCTTTATCTGCAAATATTTTTTCACAGTTTGTCATTTCTCTCTCAGGTTTGTTTACAGAAATTTCTTCACTCAAGTTTTTCATATAGGCATACATGTATTAATATTTCTTTTTATATCTTCCCCACTCCAAGATTATGTTTAAAAAAACAAATTCATGATTTCTTTAACTATATTTATGGCTTCGTTTTTAATATTAAAATAGTTGATAGATCTAGTATTTATTTTGGTGTAAAGAGCATGAGAATCCCATTTCCCCCCAGCTGATCAGTCATTTCTTTGTGTACAATTAATCTAATTGTCCATTCATCCTTCCCCCGTCGCCACGTCTTCATTATATTCTTCATTTCTTATTATATCTTTTTTCACTACTAAATCATAACACATCTTATATTAGAACCACGGAAGCACAGAACTTTGGGCAGTGTCAGGAGTCCGGCTGAAAGGAAGGGAGTCTACAGGTTTGCAGCCTGCACACAGAACTACAACCAATCTAGCCACTGTTCGGGGTTTCCTTCCTCCAACACCTCAACAAGGAGCAGTCAGAAGAAGTAGGCCCTTGAACTAAGGAGTGTTTGTTAGATAACGGGGCGGGAGGGGGGCTATGAACCAGCCTTTGTTAGCCAGGCAGTCTTGATTTTCCAGCATCTTGTCTGGCTTCCTTTATCTCATCCTAACTACCCAAATCTTCCTTGAAATGGGATTATGGGGTACCCCCGCCCCACCTCCTCCCGTGGCATTGTCGCCCTTCCTTGCCTACGGTTTCGACGAGAGGGAGGCTCCAAACGACTAGGGATAGAATGACTGGGATCGGGGACAAGCGGCTGAGAGGCCAGGGCTCGCAGGCGCAGGGCTGGGAGTGGGCCGGGTGGCGTAGAGAGGACCTCCG